CGGGGTACGAACAGGATACGCGGCCATTTTCCCTGCTGACACGCGGTCGCGGCTTCCTGTGGGCGAGATTGCGGTAGCAAGGAGACGTTTGGTGAGGCTTGTGGTGTGTTTCTTAGCGTTCTTGTGAAGGTTTTTGGTGTGCTTGTTAGCATAGCTCCAAAGAAAGTGCACTGGGAAAATTTGCTTCGGGTTGTGACCAATTCGGGTCACGACCAGAGTCACGGAACGAATTAAGTTTGTAACCCGAGGTACCACTGTATTATGGGTTTTTTTTAAGATTTTTTTTTATCCTGCCTTTATTATTTTTATAAATAACTCAAGATGGCGAACATACCTAATACTCTTTCCTCCTTCTCTTATTTTCCCCACAACAACCCTGTGTGGTGGGTAGGGTTGAGAGAGAGTGACTGGCCCAAAGTCACCCAGCCGGCTTTCATGCCTAAGGTGGGACTAGAACTCACAATCTCCTGGTTTCTAGTCTGGTGCCTTATCCACTAGACCAGATTGGCATTTATAATGAGTTCAGCTTATTGCCTATGATCCCTAGCTTTGTTCAACACTTATTTTCCTCCTTATTAAACATTTCCTAAATATAAATTATATCTCTACCAGTTCTTACATGGCACTTATAATTTATCTTTCATTCTATTTATTTCTACCTATTTTTCCCTGAAAATTATATTTGTTTGAATTTAAATCCATCCTTCAAACTACTGCCAATGCTTTCTGAACAACATTAACGCCACATTTTAGAAGTACCTTTATGTAGCTCCAGGATTAATGAATGTTAGTGTTTATCAAAAGGATTCATAGTTTCTAGCCATAGTTTTTGTCTTGTCAATTGATATTTTGGCTAAATGTCAGATTTCTATTATCGATCAGTACTATTAGCAAAATATTGATACTATTGAGATTTAATTCATATGTTCGGTTTTTTGCCTTAGAAATAGATCATACATTCTGTTAGCTTAAGTATTAAACTATAGTTTAGACTAACAGATTTCCCCTTTTTTCTTTCTCCAATTTGAATAAAACAGAATCTACAGTATTTTTTTAAATGAAAATTGTTATATGCAACTTGAAATAGCAACCCATAAGAGTCTAAACAAGCAGTACATTTCTATCAAGTTATATTCAGTTGGCTGCTTTTAACAGAATCCTCAGAGTACCTCTGTAGTGCGGTATACATGTTGGGAAATTACTTGCTATCTTTTCTTTCTAAATTGTATTTCTTAGGACTGATAAAATATTTATAGTATCTCTAAAGTCTTTTAGGTCACTCCTCCCAAAGGCTCTGTGGGTTATATTTTAAACACAATGGATTATATTCCTTTTCTCACTTTTCTAGACTTTCAAAACATTCAGTGTACATAAGCTTTGTTGCTACATATGTTTATGAATTTTTCATAATCGCTTATATTCTTGTTATTAACATTTCTTTTAACTTTTTTCAGTAGTAGCTATTTATTAAAATCAGTGTTCAAAAGAAATAATCTGTTAATACAAAATTAGCATTACATCCAATATAAATTGACTTGCTCATTCAAGAGCTAGTGCTTACTTTTAAAAAGCAAAATATCTGAAGGAGTAACTTTTTTTTGTCTCAGAAAATTTTGTCTTAAACTCTTCAGAAGAGATGCTTCTCTGGGTTTCTTTATAAGAGAAGCTCATTGTGCAGTCACTAAGCAGAAGACCTCTGTTGTGTTGGTACCCCTTCTCTGGAAAGCCTTTCCTGTTGAAGCTTAACTGGTGTGGATGCCAAGCCATTTAATATCAGGAAACATAAATGTTGGCATTTTGGACACATTGTGGTAGTATGTTTTATTTCCCCTGCTTTTTTATGCCTTTATTTATTGCAGTGCTTCATGATTTCAGTCTTAGTACCACCTGGTCAGCTTTGTCTGGCCTCAAGGGCAGATCTGGTTATTACTTGGATGGGAGACCTCCAGGATATTCCAGGGCTGAAGGCTAGACTGAGAAGCCAATCAAGCACCCCAGAAGAAGGCAATGGCAAACCACTTCTGTATTGTTGCTAACAGGGGCATTCACGGGGGGAGATAAAAAGCTCAAGATCATGATCACAACAAAATTGAGGCCTCACCCTGTTTGCATGTGTGTCAAAGGAACCAGGCTTCAATTGTGTGGTCACAGTTGCTCTCCTGGCTTGACTCCCCTCCTGTAGATGCCACTGATACCAAGAAAACTTCATAGATGGGCCCCTGTAGTTACCAGGAGTCAAGCTCAACTCTACAGCATCTTCATCTTTTTCATTACTTCATATCCTTTTGGGTATGTTTTAGTTTTAAGCTTCTTGATACCCCTTGATATTTTAAGGTGAAGGGTGGATTCAAAAACAACTTCTAAAGTAAATAAATAATAAATCTAAATGGAGAAATCTGAGTGCCAGTGATCATGCCTTAGACTCAGCATTGGATGTGGTTTTATTTTTTCACACCATTTTGTGTGTATGGC